GAAAGGGATGATGTTGCGACGGTGATGGCATTATTGGAGAGTCTAGGCAATGGCGGTGGTGGGAAGGAGTGGCCAGAGCTAGGAAGAAGTCATCGGAGTTCTACAAACCGGTGGCCGGGATGACCAGAGGTCGTCAGAGCTAGAGGTGGTGGCCGGCGTTAGGGTTAAAGTCTAGTTATTTTGGTAATTTGATTAATGGTTAAAATGGTAATAAAAAAAAATGGTATAATTTTGAGAGGGTGCATTTTGGTAATTTTGGTTTTTTGAATTTAATTTTATGAAAATTAAATTTTTTTTTTTTTTATGCTAGTGAATTTTTTTAATATTTTATGCAAATTTTTTACTTTTTAGGTGTACCTATAGCCTAGATGTATATAAAATGTACAATATTTTTTAAAAAATCAATAAATACACAAGAATATGAAAAAACACTGAATTTTTATTTTTATTTTTATTTTTGATATTATTATTAGTTTTTTTTTAAAAAAAATTCACAAATATTATACTTTTAATTGTATTTGTATTAAGTGTATCTAAAAAAAAAATTTGCTTATAATATTAAAAAAATTCACTAAAAAAAAAGAAAAACAAAAAAATAATTTTGCAAAAATTAAATTCAGGATAATGGAACCAAACAAGGTGATTGGCATGCAATAAATATTTTATTTTCAATTTATATTATTTTGTGCTTCATGTATCAATTATTTGAACAAAACTCTTGATATTTGGGTTATTAATTTTTGTTGAGAAATTGAAGTGAAAACATTTAATTTTTATTCGGAATACTTATATAAAAAGCACACAAATGATGAGAACCAAGTATATTTTGGATAATTGTCAAATGAGGTAATTGTAATTTGCCTATACAATTTTATTTTTTTTCTTTTGAGATTATTTTCTTTGACCTGGCTTGTGTCATTGGAGTTAAATATCAGATTCCAAAGAAGCAAAGGAGGGAAGTGATCACTGTCAACTGTCTTGGTTAATATGGTAAGTCCAATTTCTTCATTCCTCATAATTATGTGGACTATATGTAGCCTCATGGTCAAATGAGTTGAAAAGTTTGAATACAAACTAATAATTCAACACGAGTGCTATATGTATTAATTGATATACCAATTAGTATACTAGTATACAAACTATAAAAATCTAAAATTTCTGAAATTATGTCTTATCATCTGTTAGTATACTAAGAGATGTACCAATTGGTGCGTATAATTTTATTCATAATTAAATTCATTTCCACACATGTTTTGACTTGTTGTATTGTTAGAGTTCGGAAATATTTCTAACATTCCACTAATAATGTAGTACATACATTTCATTGTTGGATTATTTTTTATGAGATTAGATATGATAGAATTATTGATAGGATTGTTAGTGATATGTAATGTTATTTAGATGGGATGAATAGTTGGATATATGATAGGATTCTAAACGATGAGTTATGTTAAGAAGTTAATAGATGGATAAATAATTAGATGTAGGGAGGGAGATGTTATATTTGATTATGATGAGATAAAAAGAAGTTTAATATCCCCAATGCCACACACAATACCTATGATATGACAAAGTAAAACAAACGTTGGATTAAAATAAGTGTGTGATTAGCATGTTTCCCCACTTCCAATCATCCTCCTTTTCTTGCAATCAAATGCGAGATTAAAATAGGTATGAACATTGTTATCAGAATCTTGACCAATTCGGATAACACTAGGATCTTTAATTCAGTAGAATCTTAAAGTGATTACGATCCTACTCATAAAAAAATTTCTTATTATTTATTTCTTATATATGTATGTATATTGTATATTGATATAGGAAATTTGACTATAAACTCTTTCTCCAAACATCTCCTCTAATTTATGTTGACATTAAAGATGCATTATATTAAATTTATCATTTTTCTTTACGCGGTGTTTGATTGGAGGATTTGAGGATGGATTTAGAAAGGGAAAGGAAAAAAGTGTGTGAAATTTGAATCACATTTCACCTACTATTTAATTCCCTTTTTAAATCCCTCTTCAAATCCTTTAACCAAACACAAAATTAATGATTTGAAAATTACATATAATACATTATCATTATGGATAATTTTTTATTTTATTATACATTGAAAGTAGAATCTTACAATTCTCAATTTAATTTTACGATCAAATCTACAAATCGTTCAGTACAATTTTATCTAGATCCCAATTTTAACAATCTTAAATGTGAGAATCACATTCTCCACCACCCATTTTCTCCTACAAAGAAAGGTGCACATATTGTTTACCCAATACTGTGGTATTATTTTTTGGCATTATGTCAGAGGTGGGCTTCATTTTTATGGGACCCAAGGCGATGCCAATTCTTATACATAATTTAAAAATATATATATTGATAAAATATTAGTAATAATTTTGAATTAATTTTTTGTTTTACCTAATAAATACCTACTCAAATTTTAAACAAACAAAAAAAATTACAACTATTTTCTCATGAAAATCACTTATAAGATTAAGTGAGAAATCTAATTTCAAATAATTGTATTAGTAAGTAAAACATTTATAATTTATTTTTCACAATAATTACAATAATATATTTCCTAAGCAATTTTATATGATTTTTGTAGTTGACATAAATCATAGTTGTTGATATTGACGTAAATCATAATTATAATTATTGAGATAAATTTTGAATATTTTTGAGCGTTAACATTATTAATTTATTCACATTTTTTCCTGATGTAGTAGATTGAATTGTAAAATTTGATCAACTTCAAATTTAAAAAAAAATTATTGCTCCAAAAGCAATTGCAGTTGGTATAGTCAAACAATACACTATAAATAATTCTTACATTTGGCAAACAACCATCCATCCATTACTTCTATATAATTCTCCAATTAAATTTTTTTTTTTTCCTCTAAATTTTGTAAACCTTCATTTTTAAATTGCTAATGCTATAACGTAGGTTTGGTTCACTAAAATGAAATTGAATCGAATGATATGGTCATTCCTTAGTCTTTTTATAAAATGACTACTCCCTTCACATTAGTGAATGATAATTTCATTTGTCATATTTTTTATTAATTCTTAGTAAATCAAACATGAGTGTTAATGTACACCTCCTACACCACTAAAACCTACCACTACCACTACACACCTCCACTACTCCTCACCCACTCCACCTACCACCTCCACTTTACCTACTACCACCACCCACTCTACACCTACTACTCCCAAAACCTCTCTATATATAGGACTTGTAATATACAGATAAAAACATCAATATACACATCAATCTTGTAACAACAAATCAATCAATAATACATGTGTTTTAACAATAGATATGAAGATCCAACACGTATAGGACAAGCTTCGCATGGACATGGATGATGATGTTTGATAATACATTTGAAGGAAAGGTGGTGCACAAAGTTTTGGTGGGCCGGATTTGTGATGTTCCATTCTCGATAGGTTTTTTTTGTTGGGACAGAAAATCAGAGAGGTGGAAAAATGTCGGGATAATTTGTCATTTTTTGGAGAGGGTTGTTACTGATGAGAAAGATGATATAATTTATGCGGTATAAAGATACTTTAATTAATAAGAAAACTCTGTTTACACGTAAAAATCATTCAAGAAATACGATAAGACTAATGTAATAGTGTCATTATTATAAATATAAATAATTTTTATGAGTATTTTGTTTCGAAGTGAATGATTCTTATTATATAAATTTTATGTTTCTTATTAATAATAATAATAATGAGAGTTTAAAAAATTTAAAATAAAAGATCCGGAGATGAAAAATAAAATATATATGAATGGTTTAATGTGTTATTCTTGTTATATTTTGCAAATTAAATTATAACAGGTAGAGAGTCTCCTGAGTCCATTAAGGTGGTGTTTGTTTTGAGGGATTGAGGGGTCAGATTGAACTATTAGTGCATCCGGACTAATAATTTGTTGTTTGATTCAAATTTTTTGTATCAGACTATTAGTCCCTCCGGACTATTAGTTCCAAATCCATTGGACTATTGTGTCTCATGGAGGGACACAAATGGAGGGATAATGGGGGATATGGGGATGAGGTGGCGAAATGACCATTTTGACCCTCTAGTGTTTAATTATGTATTATATTTAGTAAAACTCAATAAAATTTAAATGTCTCAATTTAAAAATAAAATAATTTTATTTAATTTTTATTTATTTAATTTATTTAAATAATTTTTCTAGAGAAAGAGAATTTGGGGACATGAATTCAGGTGCCCAACAAACTTGACTGTCATATTTGGGCTGTCCCTGCTTGATTCTCCTAATTATGCTCATCAGGAGCCAGCCCAGTCCACAGCTATAAATGTTTTGGGCCTGGTGCGAACCCAGCCCAATAAATTAAACAATTAAATGTCATTAAAAATAATAATAAATAAATAAAATAGAGAACAACTTGACGAGATATAATTTTGGGAAAATTTCATTTCAGTGTAAGTTTTTTTTAAAAAAAATTACAGATAAGTGATAAAATTTATACACAGTGATAATTAAATCTATAAATTTTATCATGAATCTATAATAATTTTTTCATAATAACACTGATTGATAATTTTTCCTATAATTTTTTACGTCTGTAATCTTGTAATATTTTTTTTTAAAAATTTTTTTGGGAGGTTGGTAATTTATTTATTTATTTATTTTTAAACATTAATATGAGAGTTGAACAAATTTTTTCGTTTACCTAAATATAAGAAACTTGTTTGGCAATTGAAGATTGCAGTTAAAAAATTAAAAAATTATTATAAATTGTTATATCACTTTTTCACTTTTCTGTATGTCTTTTCATAAAAAGTGAAAACATTATTAAAATAGCAAATTATTAGCAACTTAATTCCAAAGAGTTGGCTTAATGGTCAAGGCTGGGACTTGGGATGTGTTCCTTCTATGGTTTCACAGTCCAAATCTCCTAGATACAAATAATTTCTAGGAGAAAGTGCATATGGGATCTTGCCTGAATTTTAATTGAGCCTCTTACTAGTGGATGGTGGGATTGTTCTTCCGGATTAATCGATCATTTCAGTCGGATATTGAGTTATAAACAATAAAAAAAAAACACAGCATTTGTACTGCAAAATTCAAAATTTGGTAATGAAATGGTAGACAATGGGATTAATTCAATTATTTCCCTCACACACACACACAGGGATTTGCAAATGCATTGAAATGGGTAAAAGAGATGAAGGACATGGAAGATGATCTGAATGATAAGTTGAGTTTTCTGGGTGGATTTGTTGCTTCATTTAGAGATCAGATTCACACTGATATTCAAGTCAAGCCTGGCAATAATGGTCCCCCTATTCCTGCCCATAGAGCTTTATTGGTAACTCTCTCTCTCTCTCTCTCTCTCTCAATGTTATCAATGAATATAAATACGGACTGATATATAATTATTAATTGATTTTTTTTAAGGTATAATGGAGTTGCGCTTCCTATGACATTACCCTTATTATTATTTTCTTATGAAACATGATTTGCAAATACAAATTTTATAAATGAAAAAAGAAAAAAAAAAATTTACTAAAGTGATGTAGTAAAAATTCTACCACATCATTATATATATTAGATAAATTACATTACAAGTCTTTATTTTGTCATTTTGGTTTATGTAATTTTAATTAGCTCACTTTTGACGCTTAATTTTAAATTTTATGTCAATTTAATTCAATTGATAATGCCGATTAAGATTTTAAAAAAAAATTGGTTGTTGAGTTGAACAAGTATATAATTTTAACTATAAAGCATAATACATGTCTTTTATTATGTACACATTTTCTATAATAAAAAAAAATATACGAACAATAGTAATCAATTAGACTTAATTGAGATAAAATTACAAATTTAGAGTTGAAATCAAGTCAGTTAAAATTAAAAGAACTATAATGACACAAAGGTGAAAACATAGGGACTACCATTGTAATTTTTCCACATATATGTTTTGTATAATTTTTTACAGTAATGATAAAGACTCCTACAAAACACAACCCCCACAACTTCTAAAATGATCTAAATCATTCATGTCACTATCAACTACAACTCTCAAAAAAAATTTAAATAGATCAATGATCAATACATTAGTAGGGGTCATGGGGATCCTCTTTTGTGGGGGTCACAAACATTTTCCTCTTATTTATTATCTGCAACTACTATGTCATGTTTGATTGAAGGCGGCAAGATCAGATATATTGAAGAACATGCTAGACTCAGATGGATGCAAAGCTCCACCAAATGACACCATAACTCTCCCTGAACTCAACTACGAAGAATTAGAATCACTCCTAGAATTCCTCTACAGCGGAACCTTACCTAAAGAGAAAGTAGATAAACATGTCTACTCACTCTCAGTAGCAGCTGACAAGTATGACATACCATTCCTGCAAAAATTCTGTGAGCACCGAATGCTCGGATCGTTGGACTCTTCGAACGCACTCGATATTTTAGAGATCTCAGATGTTTGTTCTAACCATAGTTTGAAAGAGACTGCATTGAACTTCATTGTGAAGAACATGGAGGATGTGGTTTTCTCAGCTAGGTTTGATGCTTTTGCACTCAAGAACCCACATTTGACTGTACATATTACAAGAGCTTCTTTCATGGATATTAAAAATAGAAGAAATGGGGTTTGAGAATGGGAGAGAGAGATGTAAAGACTTATGGAATAGTTTCATATGAATAGATCAATTAAATTTGTATTTTGTATTGTTTTAAGGGTTAATTATATTTTTATTATCCAAAGTATTTTGTTTGTGTCATTTTTGTTTCTAATGTTTAAATTGTGTCGATTGAGTCCTTAACGTATAAAAAATGTTTTAATTTGGTCTTCCAACCTAATCCCATCTGTAGACACCATTAAAGTCATGGATAAATATGTAATTTTGAATATTAAAATGATACAAATCATACATTTTGATAACTAAAAGTGTATATACATCAAGTGAGTTTTCTCCTTAATAAAATAGATCATGTATTTTGGAACTAAAAATATAACTCTTTGAATGAATTTTTACATGTATTTATGCCTTCAATGGTATCTACTAACAAAGTCAGGTTAAGGGATCAAATTAAATTTTTTTTATATATTGAAATTAAATTGACATGATTTAAACATTGAGATCAAATGACGCAAACAACATAATTTGGAGTCTAAAAATGTAATTAAAGGCCACGCCCATGATGGGTTGTGTAGACAAGCAGCCTACCGGCTTAGCCAACAAGGCCAAGAATTTGTTTTATAATTTGGGCATTTTTGTTTTTTTGTTTCTTGTATTTTTTTCATATATTTTGCCGAGCTCATGAGTTGCCTCTGACTGATCAATGAATCAAGTTGACGGGCTACCTATCACAAGCTAATGAATCAGGCTAAACCTTAGACCCAAGCCCAACACAAGTCTCATTTAAATCAGTTACGCCCAAATCAGATAACAAACTTTCGAGTCAAATGATGACCCTTGATTGGAAATGCATTGTTGTGAAATAAAATTTTGAGAACAAAGTATCATTGTCTGTTTCCATCGGTTGCAATATATAATTCTAACATACAAAGTCTCCAAAAAACCCTTTCATGTCATAAGCTTGCTATTTGCAGAGAGACCTACCCTTT